ATCTTGGTGTATACCAAGATCTACTCTGATATGGCCGCCGCTCGTTCGGAGGCTCGTTGCCTCCGAATCCGAAACAACATAAAAATGTGTTTCCTTTGAAGAAATGAATGAAAACGTTTAGATCATGTCATCAGTCTGCTGCAGGCAGGAGGAAGCATTTCCTCAATCACCTTTCCTCCAGTGATCAGATTGCACCATTGAAACTTTGTCGCAAGTCACAAGGTGAGAGGCTGCAGCAGGGGCTGATCTGTGCTAGACACGTGCAAAGTGCTCTTATCCTTTTTGCCCCCATTCCCGTGACGTAACCTAGCCCACCCTGCCCCTCCACTGATACATACTTACCTGGATCCGACAGCCGTGGTTCTGTTTACGTCTAGTATTGCAAATGTCAATATCCTGACTGCAACTTTGCATTGCAGCCCCTACCGGCTCCAACTGGTTCCATAAAAGTACATTTTTCCGTTGACTTTTGTCACTGTTCTTGGTGCCGGCTGTCAGAATACAGCAGCCCTGCATGGAAGATTTGCACCTTGCCGCTGTTTGGCGTGGAGGGAGGAATCTGATCGACGTCTTTCAATGCGTGTACGGCCATTTTTAGTGTTAGATGTCTCCCTCTAGTGGCTAACATGGCAACAACAAAAAAATGCCCAATTCGGCTACGTGAACTCGGTTTCCTGCCTTACAAATAAATATCAGGAGTTCAAAACGGCCACAAGACAATGGATTAAACATTTCACTGTCATACTGGCTTCAGTCATTGACTGCACAGCTGTGTGAAAGGGCTGCTATACCAAACTCACCTTAAGGTCCCCACACAGCTTACGATAATCGTACGATAATGGCGGGAAATCCCGCGATCGTACGATTATCGTAATGTGTGTGGAAGCCGTGCGACCTCTACTACTGTAAGGTCGCACGACTTTTAACTTACGGACATGTTCGAAAACCCGCCGAGCATCGCACGATGTTCGGCGGGTTTGTGGCATGTCCGTACGATAAAAGCCGGACGGGCCGGTGTGCGCAAGCGCACACTGCCTGTTCGGCATTGCGGTCATCGGAAGCCCGCCCCTCAGGGGGCGTGGCTTGCGATCATCGCAAGTACGATCTGCCTATGCAAGATAGGCAGAGCATACGTTTTTTTAAGTACCTTACAAAAGTCTTGCGATGGTTGTAAGGTGTGTGCCCAGCCTAACTCACCCACGACCTAACCTACCAGAGCTCTCATAGTTACATGCTTAAAGGGACAGAAACCTAAAAAGCAATATTCTTCTTATGTTGGGATAGAACTCCACAAACACCTTTTTTAGGGTGACCGAAATGGGGTAACATTCCCCACTGTGTTTTATTACAGTCCAGGACCCCTGTAGAGTAGATGGCCCCCCACCTCATCCCACAAAGCAATGCACACTGGCCAATAGAGAGGCACCCACATTGCGGGGAGGAGGGAGGGTGTTGCTAATGATACACTGAATGATCTTTGGGGGGTCAGGGGCTTCTGCTAAAGATTCAGCCAGAGAAAAAAAAAATTAATTTTGTATAGAGCAGGGACGTGTTAGAACATCTGTCAGGCTTTTCATCACTGCCTGTGTCCCCAGTGGGAAGTTCTCCTCACTTCCTGCCCTTGTTGCAGGTGTCACCTTGACAGAAAGTGAGGGGAAATCTCCCTAATGGGGACACAGCAATAAAAACCTGGCAAAGGTTCTATCCTCCCCCAACGTTATCTAGACTAATCATGCTAGAAGCGCAATAGATAATTCTTCCATCAGAATGTCTCACGCTCTGTCACAAATCCCCAAAATAAAGGGTTAATTCCTAATTGTAGGCTAGTGACCATGCAAATCATTCCTTTACACCCTTGGGCTGACTGTGCATCAAGAACAGCCGGCCTACAGTACAGATACAGCCCAACATTATAGAGCCATTGATTTCAAACTGCACACAGCTGTTTCAGGCCATCATCAGTGCAGTGCATGGAGACCACGGCTTCTGCATAGTAGGGTTTTTCGGGAGCAGGTGTAGGCAAAAAAGGCGTTTGGCTCAAGTCCCACTTTAATTGTAAAAGGTTCATGTTTGAATTTAGAATCAATGACTGGCCTTGTCTCCGCCCCCTCGTGTAATAAAGACTGCTCACTGATGCTCTCTCGCCTTGTACAGGGTGACTGGTCTTGTCTCCGCCACCTCCTGTAATAAAGACCACTTACTGCTGCTCTCTCGACTTGTGCAGGGTGACCGGTCTTGTCTCTGCCCCCTCCTGTAGTTTTCTGTAGTGGGTGTGGCCTGCTGGGTCCCTCCCACAGCTCTGCTCTCTGCACAGGTTATGTACAGCACAGTGGTGATGTCACAGCTACTTTTAACTCCTTTAGACTATGTGTTGCATCAATGCAAACCATTACCATGCATTAAGGCACACTGTGAAAAAGGAGTAGGGAGTTAAAAGTAGCTGTGACATCACCACTGTGCTGTACATAACCTGTGCAGAGAGCAGGGCTGTGGGAGGGACCTAGCAGGCCCCACCCACTGCAGGAAACGACAGGAGGGGGCAGAGACAAGACCGGTCGCCCTGCACAAGGCGAGAGAGCAGCAGTAAGCGGTCTTTATTATAGGAGGGGGCGGAGACAAGACCAGTCATCCTGTACAAGGAGAGAGAGCAGCAGTAAGCGGTCTTTATTATAGGAGACAAGACCGGTCACCTCGCACAAGGAGAGAGAGCAGCGGTGATTGGTGTTTATTACAGGAGGGGGCGGAGAGAAGACCAGTCACCCTGCACAAGGAGAGAGAGCAGCAGTGACCGTTCTTTATTACAGCAAGCTCCAGGTTTTGCACAGATCTGGAGGAGATGCACAAAGCTCACCACGATTCCAGGAAGGAGACACATGACTCTGCTATGATGACAATATTTGCTGATCCCGGAGTTCAGCTTTAAGTATTCCTCCAAACTTCCTGCTGGTTCATCATCCGGGCTAATTCTGCCCTAAAGAGATCTGCGTGTTTTCTTTTTTCTGTAAGATACATTTTTGGAAGACGCACTCTTGGCACGGCCGTCGTACCCCCCTGCAGGCTGTCTCTCTTCCAGTTTTCAAATTTGTATGTCAATATAATTGTAGGTTTAGCACTGTTCAAACTTGTCTGACGGAGAATATAAAAGTGCAGGAACTCAACTTTCCACAGAGCAGAGGGAAGGAATGGAGTCAGCAGGAGATGCTGCAATCATGGATGTCGTCCTCTCTCTGCAGACGTGCCATGTCAGCACTATATCCAGATTATAAAGGACAGAGAGCTGAACAGCCACATTGTATATCACTTGAAGGGTCAGTCCACTCTGGGTAGGGATGAGGAGAACGGAAAGAATTTATTTCCCTGAAATTTCATCTAAAATCATGAGATTTCTGTCATATTTCTCCAAGCAGGCAATAGATTGGAAGACGGAACTAAAGCTGACCTCCGTCCTCCCCTTCAGTCTTCTATCTGACCTCCGTCCCCCCCTTCAGTCTTCTATCTGACCTCCGTCCTCCCCTTCAGTCTTCTATCTGACCTCCGTCCTTCCCTTCAGTCTTCTATCTGACCTCCGTCCTTCCCTTCAGTCTTCTATCTGACCTCCGTCCTTCCCTTCAGTCTTCTATCTGACCTCTGTCCTTCCCTTCAGTCTTATATGTGACCTCCGTCCTTCCCTTCAGTCTTCTATCTGACCTCCGTCCTTCCCTTCAGTCTTCTATCTGACCTCCGTCCTTCCCTTCAGTCTTCTATCTGACCTCCGTCCTCCTCTTCAGTCTTCTATCTCACCTCCGTCCTTCCCTTCAGTCTTAAAACTGACCTCCGTCCTTCCCTCCAGTCTTGCACAGTGGTGCCGCCTCCTCTCCTGGACTGGAATGGCTTCCTCTGATGTCACCGCACACTGGGAGCTTCTCACAATGCGCATTAGACAGTAAGCAGCACAGTAATGACTACATTGAACCTCACTCCAAGTCTCCCTAAGACCAGCAGTCAGAGGCAACAGTGCCATAGATCTCACACTTTAGATAGGCAGCTATGAGGCTGTAGGCTCAGAAGTTCCTTCGCACACTCACATGCCAGGAAGTTCTGTTCTTCAGAAGGAATTCCAGCATAGAATGTTCTGTCCCTGTCTTCCAATTGTATTCCTGTGTAGTCAGCCTGTTACATGGGCTTCCAGTGGAGACTACAAGTGGCCATTACAGCACACATTGTACAGGCACGGCCCACTGTTGTCACCATTAGGAAACCCACCATGCAACCGTCTCTGGAGTGCATGTAGACAGGAAGTGGCTGCGGGACATCAGCAGCATTAAAGGAGAACTATGAGGTGAGTGCTTTTCACTCACCTCGTAGTTCTAGCCGACCTGTGACAATGAGACTGTCACAGGTCGGCTCAGTAGATCGGGAGGTGAGCGAACACATAGAACACATGGATTCCCCGCTTTGATCCGCCAGCGCTGACTGGCGGAACGGACGGGGAGGGGGCGGGCACAGCTGGCTCTGCCTCTAGATAGGCAGAGCCAGCTGTCACTCACGGAGCAGGGCGGATCCAGACATTGATGTCGGGAACCGCTCCGGCTGCGGCGTCTCAGTATATAATGAGCTGTAGCTCGCGGTATACTGAGCCTAGGGTGACGGGAGGACGCTAGTTTGTGTCCTCCCGTTACCCTAAGGAGAACTATGGGGAAAACCCCTGACCCCATAGTTCTCCTTTAACACGCAACAAAGGGTGAAAGAAAGATGAAAATAAATATTAAGAATGACCCCCATTTATGATACGCAGAGCTTCAATGAACACAACGAGGGGAATTTATCAAAACTGGATCAGCTGTGCATGGCAACCAATCAGCATCTATCTTTCATTTTCAAATAGAAGAGAGAAGCTGATTGGTTGCCATGCACAACTGCTCCAGTTTCGATAAATTCCCCCCCCCAATGTCCTTAGTTAGGTTCTACATCTAATGCTACATTCTACATTCTCTAATGCTCTCCTGTTTTCTTGACCACAGGCGGTGAAACATTACATGAGGACGGAGTGCAAATGCCACGGCCTGTCGGGATCCTGCACCCTGCGCACGTGCTGGAAGAAGATGCCGCACTTCCGGGAGGTCGGGGACCGACTCCTAGACCGCTTCAACGGAGCCTTCAAGGTCATGGGCGGCAACGACGGCAAGACCATCATTCCTGTCGGGCACAACATCAAACCCCCCGACAAGCAGGACCTCATCTACTCCGCCGACTCTCCGGACTTCTGCCAGGCCAACCGAAAAACCGGCTCGCCAGGTACTCGGGGCCGCGTGTGCAACAGTACGGCCATGGACGTGGGAGGCTGCGACCTCCTGTGCTGCGGCAGGGGGTACCGGGAGGAGACTGTAGTGGTGGAGGAGAGCTGCCTGTGCCGCTTCCACTGGTGCTGCGTGGTGAACTGCAATAAATGCACGATGAAAAAAGAACTCAGCATGTGCTTGTGAAACGGACGCCGGGACAAAAAAACGTGAGCGCGAGCTCGCATGTCTACGTGGACCGACAATAGAGACTCCGCCCCCCACCTTTACACACGCAAAAAAAACAGAGGAAAAGCATTTGCAGGATGTCATGTGATCCGCAGAGACGGGGGTCACACCTGAGCAGTCACGTGACCTCTTCCGCCATGGCGTCACAGGGGGCTTTCTTGAGTGAACTCTTGACAAGGTCGAATATTTGAGAAGGGGGGCGAACATTTTATAGGTTATCCCCGGGACATATATACAGGAAAATATCCATATAGGTTGATCGGTTCAAGGCGTTCGGACGTTCACTTCTATCACGCAACGTGCGCCAAAGACAAAATGAGAACAAAACCTCCATGTTTTAGAGTTTTATAAGCGCATTACTACATCCGAAAAAGAGGTTTCAGTATTTTGTAGTCTGTAATGGGGCCGTCTGCTGAATCCCGACCTTATCTCTCGCTTTCGGCATCGTCACATGCCATTTGCAATCCGGTTTACAGAGCCAAGGGAAAGGTGGAGTAACTACTGCACCCCCCATGCTGCCATGGACCCCCAGCATCTCTGTCCACCAGTGGTATGATACAGGTCTATATAGACATGGCTGGGAGCCATCCAGACCCTAATAATGCATAAGGAACTTTAGGTATCTCGCATGTGTCCTGGGTGCTCTATCTTCTAGCTTTGGGGTGGAGTTCTTGATTAAAGGAGAACGATGAGGTGAGTGCTTTTCACTCACCTCATAGTTCTAGCCGACCTGTGACAATGAGACTGTCACAGGTCGGCTCTGTAGATCGGGAGGTGAGCGAACACATGCCGGCGTTCGCTCACCTTTCGATCCTGTCACGGCTCTCTGCCGTGACAGGGGAGGGGCTGGATTCCCCGCTCTGATCCGCCAGCGCTGACTGGAGGAACGGACGGGAGGGGGGCGGGTACAGCTGGCTCTGCCTCTAGATAGGCAGAGCCAGCTGTCAGTCACGCAGCTGGGCGGATCCCACCACAATTGTCGGGATCCGCTTCAGCTGCGGCGTCTCAGTATACTGAGCCTAGGGTGACGGGAGGACGCTAGTTTGTGTCCTCCCGTTACCCTAAGGAGAACTATGGGGAAAAACCTTAACCCCATAGTTCTCCTTTAAGTGTAAAACTACCTCTCTGCTGCTGAGCAACTACCAATCCCTGCAGAGAGCTCTTATTTCTGAACTCCAAGCAAAGGGCTAAATGCACAGATGAAATATATACAAATATATACAATGGAGCTGCTTTTTGTGCCAAAGGATTTGTATTTCTTTCCATCCAGATTTACCCAGCTCTGCCACACAGCACAGCCCTGTCTGCCCAGACAAGAGACCTGATTCTTCTCTGCTGCAGTTAAGTAACCCTTACCGGCAGGGCCTGATTTACTCTCTCCGCTGCCCCAATGCCAGGTTCCTCAATGCGCCCCCCAGTATGCATACAGGTGATCTCGGTGACATCGCCGGGATCACTTGTAGAAAACAAGCGGCAGCTTCCCCGCTGTAGGTTTAGCTCGGCTTGCCCAAAGCAGGGCTAAATGTAGAAAACAACTACCAGCCCAGCGCCCGGAAATGCATGTCCCCGGCGTCGGGAGATAGGAATTCCATGCCACTGCTGCCCCTCTACTCCCTGCTGCCCCGAGGCCGGACCTCGGTTGGCCTTGTGGGAAATCCGGCCCTGCTTACGGGTCTTGTCCCTCCCCCAACCCCAAATTGGACAGAGAAGGGAGAAGCAGCAGACTGGTGAGATCATCTCGCTCTGCTCTCTCCTCCTCTTAGTATTCTATTTAGCTCTGCACACAACTGATTGGCTTCTTGTTTCTCCGTCCCTCAGCATGAGCCCTGCTGTACAAGGAGTCCAGGGGCTGATAAATCAAATGTAGGTACTTACACTGCTTGTATAGAAATACATTTAATATTGAATTATTTATTACAGAGCTGCAATACTTTGTGTCTTTTATATCTGTCTGGAGTTCAGCGTTTAAGCCGTACTGTACTGCGATGCTTCTCCATGTTGTTTGAATGATACCGTGGCTGAGCTGGGAGGTTAGGTTGTGGGAGAGTTAGGTTTTACAGGCACAACTTCTATTCCGTTTTATAAATGACTACAACCCTTCCTACAATGTAACCTCTATACAGCTGACAAAGGCTACAAGTCCTCATTAAAGAAGAACTCCCCACACCCCCGGGGAAAAATGTATTTAACCTTTGCAGTGGGGCTACCCAGGGCCGGATTTACTGTCTCTGCTGCCCCAAGGCCAGGTTTCTCAATGCACCCTCCAGCCCCTCCCCTCCCCCCATGGAGAATGGCAGACCTGCAGGCTGCATACAAGTGATCTCAGTGACATCGCCGAGATCACTTGTAAAATGTAGCCTTGTACATTTAGCCGTGCTTGCCCAAAGCAGGGCTAAATGTAGAAAACAACTGCGTGTCTCGGTCACCGGGAGATAGGAAATCCACACCCCTGCTGCCGCTCTACTCCCTGCTGCCCCGAGGCCGGGCCTTGTGGGAAATTCGGCCCTGCCTTTATACAGCTGACAAAGGCTACAAGTCTCATTAAAGAAGAACAACCCCTCTCCCCCCCAGGTAAAAATTGTATTAACTTTTGCAGTGGGGCTACCCCCGCGCTGCAAGGGTTAGGTGCTCGTTTTTGCCTAGGGTCAAAAATAAAAAAAAGGTTATGCTCACTAGATCCTCGGAGTCACCTTGCTCTTAGACCGGCCCCTGGAGCCTCTCTCCCCCTCCACTGCAGCAGTCTAAGGTCCTTGAGTCATCACGTTCTGTATACTGTGTATAGGATGTGAGGATGAACATTGCTGCAGTGGAGGAGGAGACAGACAGGAGGGAGCATTGTCACAGCCAGCCAGCTCAGAGGTTTAGGTGAGTATAACTTTGTTATTTTTGACCCCAGACAAAAATTTGTACTTAACCCTTCGGGGTGACCCACTGCAAGGGTTAAGAAAATGTTTCTTTAAAGTATATCTAAAGCCGAGAAGTGGAAAGGGCACTGGATTTACTTTGTCACTAAAGTGTATCTAAAGCCAAAACTTTAGGGAAGGGTGAACACCCCAGCTAGGTTTGTTTTACCACCTGTGTCCCATTGGGGAGATTTCCCTTTCATTCCTGTTCCGACGACAACTGTAACATTTTGGATCTTCCCTGACTTTCACTCCCGGTGACAATGGTGTCCAGGACAAACAGAGAAGGTGAATCTCTCCAACCGGGTCACACAAACACCGCAATACCTGGAAGGAATGGAACCCCAAGAAGATCCTTCTCATTATTATTATTATTATTATCCAATAGTGTTGTAGTGGTGTATGAAGAGGCGTCTGGATTCTGGGATGCTGGCTTCTATACACCTGCGGTGACCTTGGTTTGTAATAATAAGTGAATCAGGAGTGAATAGGAATGGCGCATCACGAGCTGATAGTCCTGATACAAATGTATCCCATTAAATAGACGACTTTATAATAGATCCAGCGTATTTCGGGTGCCAGAAGCCCCCCCCCCTTCATCAGGGATTAAAGTTGGGAAACACGATGTGTATAAACTGGCCTGGGAAAGGGATACAATCTATGTGATATGTTAAACCAATTTGCATGATAAAGCACAGTGTTCATCAGCAGGGATGGCGAGTTTTGGTTTGGTTGCATCCATGGAACCCAAGCTGTTGGCAGCGAACGGGCAGAGGATTTGGCCAGTTTGTCCTCCCATTGAACCTCTGTCTGTGTCCTTGCAACCAATGAACCTCCCAACATCATTGGTTGGCTGGTGGCTGAGCCGCACAGCGTCATTGGTTGATTGGTGTCTGAGCCTCACAGCATCATTGGTTGATTGGTGTCTGAGCCTCACAGCATCATTGGTTGACTGGTGGCTGAGCCGCTCTGCGTCATTGGTTGACTGGTGGCTGAGCCGCACAGCGGCATTGGTTGACTGAAGGCCGAGCCTCACAGCATCATTGGTTGACTGATGGCCGAGCCGCACAGCACCATTGGTTGACTGGTGGCCGAGCCGCACAGCGTCATTGGTTGACTGGTGGCCGAGCCGCACAGCGTCATTGGTTGACTGGTGGCTGAGCCGCACAGCGGCATTGGTTGACTGAAGGCCGAGCCTCACAGCATCATTGGTTGACTGATGGCCGAGCCGCACAGCACCATTGGTTGACTGGTGGCCGAGCCGCACAGCGTCATTGGTTGACTGGTGGCGGAGCCGCACAGCGTCATTGGTTGACTGGTGGCTGAGCCGCACAGCGTCATTGGTTGACTGGTGGCTGAGCCGCACAGCGTCATTGGTTGACTGGTGGCTGAGCCGCACAGAATCATTGGTTGACTGGTGGCTGAGCCGCACAATGCCATTGGTTGCTAGGACGCAGGTGGGCTCACCATGACAGCTTATGATGCTGTGGGGCCACCAGGATATTAACAACCAATGATGATGTGTAGGTCGCACGACATCATTGGTTGCTAGGACAGAGGCCCCCCGTGGGATCACTTTGCTTACACGTTTACCAAACCCGGATTTCTGGCTGGGTTTGGTGAACATCCAAGCGAACCAAACACAGACCAGCAGCTCTATATTGAGATAAATTTGTATCCAAACATCAACTTGTGGTCTGCCACTTAAATTTTAGGCCCCTACAGGCAGCAATAAAACCCTGATGGAGCCCTTTGTAACTCAATCCAGAAATGAAAAAAATTGTTTTGGCTTTGGATACACTTTAGGGAAGATGGGGCAAAAAAAACAAAACACTAAAACCTTCAAAAAATGTTAATAGTTCCTCCTCCTTGTTAGCACAACTATTACCTGGTTTGAAATGACCGGTGCCCTTTCACCTCCTCCGTAATGTGGATTTCAGACCACACAGGAGACGGGAATTCTCATTAGGAGTCTGAGCGAGTCCGGACATGGGTAACCTCCGACCTCCGTTTAACCTGAGAATGTTCAGGTCAGCTTCCCTGGTCACACCATTGGATTTATAACCAATAAAATGACATCAGTTGTCCTGGAAGATGTTGACTCTCATGTACAGGCCCGT